AAAGATTCCACTCTCTACCCGACACCAATCCGGCCCTATGCTATGATTGTAACGAACACGTACATGTTTACTTTTCTCGACTACAGCACCGACGACTGTATCTGCCCTATACGATCCAGTGGCCACAAGGTCACTACCAGTCACTTTGCCTGTACCCAGCATTTGATTCGACTCATCCTGGTAGGCCCGGTGGCCCAGATTGTTAGAAGGGAGGCTTGTATTTAGAGACTCTAGAGAGTGTGTAGAGTAGACCTTGCGAGGAGTGACATTATGCACACTCTCTCGCCGGAAGAAGAGAGTATGTCTCAGTGGTTACAGATGGTCATGATCGGAATGTTGGCATTCTTATCGTGTGTCCTGTCACCTGGGTTTGAAGCAGAGAATCAGATTCTTGCCGTTGGAAGTTTTGAACGCCGAATCGTGCATCTGCCCAAAATTCCAGAATTGGAATGTATATTTATTATTTTAGAGGGCTATGAGATTATTGAGATATGTACAGTTCTATTATTATTAAAAACTGTCCATATAAATATTTTCATTTATAGAAAACAATCAAATTCTTATTGTACTCTTTTGATCTTTGTTGTTTTAGGGTTTAGGGTTTTTTTAACCCCCCTAGGCCCAGGGGCCGGAGTATATATATGTGTAACGTTACCAATTATTTAAAAAAAATAAGCAGCATCAGCCAACATTGATCATGGGACATTCATTGTACAATGTACCATATTTTAAATTTAATATTTAAAATTAAAAAAAAATGGTATGTGCCATTTGACCCATTTCATGGCCTTTTAAATTTAACTTCAACTTTTACACTTGCTCGATGAGCCGATGGTCGATACATTTCGATAGTCGATCTGTAGTCGATAGTATCGATACCCCTAAAAATATTAAAAAAAAAGCAACCGTTAAAATATGTTATTTTGGTCAGAAGTCAGGCAAGTGTAAAACTAGTACTAGTAGTACCAAGTACGCCTGACAATCTGACATAGTACATACAGTCATACACTCTGCTGGTCTGCTCTCTGTTTGGTGGCACATATCAGTTACTCAGCCCGTCGGCAGCCAGCGAGTCATACAGAAGTTCACACTTCTGAGTTCTGACAGTGAGTCACAGTGACTTTACAAGTTCACAGTGAGTCCACACCACACCGTCACACTGTCACACAGACACTGTCACGCAGACAAACAGCAGGGTCACAGACAAACACAGAGCAGTGAGCACAGCAGGATTAGTGGAATACATACCTCAATACACGGCGAAAGCCTCACCCCCCGAGAGAAAGAGACTCAGAGTGCGGGACCCCGTCCGCCGTTCGGGCCCTTCCCGACAAATTGCATACATGGTAACATCATCAGACATCAGACCATCTGTGAACAGTAGATGCTATTATTAGCTCTCTCTCTTTACTGGCCCCCAAGAGTCAGAGTGCTGGACCTCGTCCGGGCCTTTCCCGACAACTTGCATAGCAACAGTCGAGTGTCGACCCTCTGTAGCCTGAGCCCTGATGCACGATGTCGGCCTGTGCAACAGTGCACAATACACATTGCACAAGAAGGAGGTCTGATTTAGAAGGGGTGTATTTAAAAAAAAATAGATGACTATTGTAAAAGTATCTATAGCTCTCACTCCAGAGAGTAGAGGTAGAGTAGTTATAGTAGACTGAGAATATTGTTTAGTAGGTTATATTTAAATAAAAAGTATTTAGTGTTATAGCCTCCCAGAGTCCCAGGAGTCCAGGACCCAGAGTCCCAAGTCCCAACCGACAACCGTCAATGACACAATCCAGAGTAAACTTTAAAGGGGACAATTTGTATTAGGTTTTCCATTTTCAATTTTTAATGGCCTCTTTTCTGATTTCTCCTGACGACGTGACCAGATCACCAGACCTCTTCTCCACTATTTCTAAAAATAGGTACATATATTATACATATGTAGCCTCCTCTTCTAGAGTCTCTCGAGAGTAGATAAGTTGAACAAGAAGGCTACATAGTAAATTTAACATATATAAATATGTTCAATTTTGGGATTTCTATAATATATATATATAAATATGTATGTATGGGTGGCATGGCGCATTCACTGCATTGTTGTTTTATAGAAAAAAGGGATTAAAAATTAATAAAAAAAAAGGGAATTTTTATTTTTATTTTATGTAGGAACGTGTATTTGATTGCTAATTTTTTTAAAAGTGCTGTGACAATACTTCATGTTCGCGTGATGCGCATGAATTCAGTTACCTGTATATGCTACCAGTTCGATTCAAGGCTCCAACTGAGTCCCGCCGGGAACGATATGAGTTTCGTTTTCAACGGCTTGATACTTGATATCAAATAAAAACTGAGTGCAATCCACCCAAATGTATACAGTTTTAGTCTGCGGTGTACATTGACAAATAGTGTACATAGCGACAAAATGAAAAAGGAAACTCAGGCAAAGTTACGGAGATATGGGTCAGGTCCATTGGCAAAACAGAATCACGTATCGGCTATTCCGATGCCAACTTATTTGAACCATAGTACATCGAATTGTCTGAGTAGGCCGGCCGATCAAAATTCAATGCATGAATTTGCAAACGCGCTGTCCAGCCCAACTATGACATCAAACACGAATATAATTTCACCTATCGCATTGCACGACGTAGATTATACGCAACAGGCGTCAGCGTCACCAGATTCGTCAATATACAGGAGGAAGTCCAACTTAAAAACTGGTATGGTTGCAAATAGCGATCCACCAAGTCCTCTTTGCCATTACAAACATACTTTTGACCCTACTGTTACTACTCAGCGCATTGTCGTTGGCATCTACTCATCTCAAGCGTCTGAAACATCGGATATAGAACCGGAAACTACAAATCCGTCAGTCTCTGAGTGCACTGATGAAAGCTCAAAGGTAATATTTTCTCACGGCAAAGTAGCAGCCCGCAGGCAATCGAGTTTATCAGCGCGTGCGCGGACTATTTTCAAATCTGTATTGGCACGAACATCGACTACGGGCAGCAGGTGACAGTATATGACAGTAAAACTATATATGCTTTCACGAGAGAGAACATCCTCAAAAATTCACAAGGAATGACAAGCCTGTGCTGTATAAACTCACAGTCGAAGAGATCTCCAGCCTGCGAACCGAAGACGCATGTCGAGCATTGATTTCAGAGAAGTATAACTCACGATATGTCATGCAAGTGTGTACTATACAAATTTCTATAGAACATACCATGGAAGAGCATACTCTTTTTAGATGACCCGGTTGTATTTGTAAGCGGAGCGAGCATAGAATAGTGAATCGTAATAAACGGTCTAAGGCTATTTGGCACAACAACTCCATGAGCTGCGTAGATTGCATACCAATGTTGATCAATAATCCTTGGAGAGCTGCAGGAATTGAGTACGGATAATTGTGTGTTTCGTTAGTACTGCAGTAATCATTTGGGGACTTAACCCTACACTTCATCGGTCATATAAACGCCAAAATCGCTGGTTGAATTGCACATAGACGAGCTGTGACGTACACTACACAAGTACGCGTAAATAGAGTATCTGTTCGAACGACAAGGCAATAAAACCACGTACGTCTGTAAATTTTTCAGCATACATTTAAACCGGACCTGTGTCCTCATGCCGGTGTCACGTTGCATATGTTTTTTTTGTTTACGTAGTCTAGAACTAGGATGGTACTCAAAAGATTGCATCGAGACTTAGCTATCTCTGGTCGCTCGTATTATGTCCATCATACTGAACCAATAGGCGTTGCAAACATGATCTGATATGTATATAAAGGGGTAGACTAAGATGTGTCTCGATTGCATGTGTCTCGATTGCATGTGCGGTGCCTTTCCTACTGAATTAGCAGGCGGTATAACCATGACTCTGTTATGCACACATGGCTTCGCATTTTCCAGACCAAAATTCCAAATCAATAGTCCGGATAAAGACATAAGAGTATGGCAAGGCTCGATATTAGTGGGCCTGAGGTTGTCTAATTTCATCGTTGTATAGGTTTTTAATAGGAGATGGAGAGCGAGTGTTGATAGAACGATCGCACGCATGAGCACCCCTCCGATCGTGAGCAGGATATCAAATTGCGTGGTTGATAGTGTTATTGTTCGATTCCGCTCGTTCACACAGCCTGCGGAATCAGGAAGTTTATCTCACATGAACAGAATGAATACACAGCTACTTTTTGAGATTGTTTTAATCATGACGAGGCGATGATATCAATATATACATATATACGCGCACTAGCCAGCGACACTAACAATATCTACATCTATTTATATTATTTACATCTGGTGTTCTCGAGCATCTTTCTTAAGCATGTCGTCTAAAGTTTGACCTCCGATGAAATTGCCACAGGCCACCTCGTTGTCATGTTCGTCGTGGGGCAGTACCTACAAGAAGCCGTATAGATTACATTGTAAGATAGGGTTATATACTGACCTAGATTTTATTAGTATGCAGCGCCTTGTTCCAAGATGTTGCAGAAACTGCATTGTGAATGTACTATTGGACTTGCGCATACATATAATATTCATAT